ATTAAAGATTATGTATCTTACACATTGAAATGACAGTTGTTATCCACTTTACACCTATTTTTTTCACAAACTACTCGATCCAAGTACTCGAGGTCCTAATTCAGAGCAAAGTTGATCAGCCTAAAATATTAACTGGGAGTTTCTCCTGAAATTGACCTGATGCGATAAGCTAGATCAGAGTCACTGCTCTGTTGGTGTTGCTGAACAGCGGTCACAGCATATCGGAGTAACTGTAATTACCACTTTTCAATTTGTAAGTAGTGTTCATGTCAACAAACTCAGATTTTTCTGAAAGCTCCAATATGTCTGACTTGGTGCTGATTCATTAGCCATGGCAACACTGTGACAAATCAGGTCAACACAAATGTTGTGGCTTTCACTGAAGAAATATTGTAATTTTCCATCGCTCCTGAGGGTGGCATCCCTTGTTATCAACATCTCTCTTTCTTAGCTAAAGTAGACTTGGCAAAAACAATCTACTGGCAACTGGACAGAGTTATAGAATGATGCTGCCACCCTGAAGTGAAGAGAGAAATCAGCCCATAAATAACATTTTAAGAAGGAGGCTGCAGGCGAACTTTGATCATATCTGCGCTAGAGGCTTTGGCAGAGCATTTAGGCTTGGGTGGTATCTTTTTTTTCATACCTTCATACTTTCCTGATATTTAATGGGTGTATAAAAATATGACGGTATTTGTGTTTAAAAAACAAAAAAAAGTAAAAGCTGAGTCACTGGTGACTGGTTCATATCATTGTCTAGCCTACATTGTAAATTCACTCACTCAACTTAAAAGCTTGCACTAAAAACATTTGGTTTACAGTACAGTAACATAAAAGTTCTGAGTTCACCAGTCACATGACCCTTGTCTGACAGGAATTTTATGTCAGTTTATCATAATTTTTTGTTTTTGTTTTTAGAGCATTTAATTCTTTGTCATGTTACCGTAAGAAATTGAGGACACATTTTACAACAATTTCATCGAACTGTAAAAAATATAGGTTTATAGATTGCTAGAATAAGGCAAAGAGATGAATTCTGAACCAGGAAGCAATCTATAGTTCACCTTAACACGACATCATGTTTTTGTGTTATTTTGACAATCCGGGGCATTTGTGTATCACAATTTTGTGTTTGGGGTTTACTATGTTGTGTTGCTAATATGCAAGTAGCCTACTTAGACAAGTCATATTGAGTCTAAATACTTATTGCTTATCGACACTTGTTGCTGTGGTGGATACCAGCACATCAGTGGGCTGAATGGAGATGACGTGTTGAATAAAAAACATGTGGCTAATAAACTGCTTTTGTAGTTGGAAGAAGTCATCTTAAGAAAAAGCAAAAATGACAAAACCTTACTTTCTGGTGTTATTGATTTTTATTTCTCAATAAGGCTGGAGAAATACATTTTAAAGGATCAAAATCTTGACTATTAAACCCTGTAATAAATCCCAGTGATTTAACTTTTTTCTTGAATAGCACAGATGATGGATGTCAGCGGTAAGATTGGACAGAGTCTTACCTCTAAAATATTTATTTGTTTATTCACTTCGATGAGAGATAGATAGATTAGATACTTCACAGAGTATGTTGCCATAGTAACTAACTCAAGGTTACGCTGAACTGGTTTTGTGAAACGGGAAGAGTTTCCCTCATCTCAGGCTTAACATACTCAGAGTTTTCACTAATCCTGCTTTCTGAAATAGGGCCCTGATAGCAATATTATGTAATGAATTTATCGAAAAAAACAAAATGAAAAACTGATCAATATTTGAGCCGCATTCCCCCCTCTTTGGAGGCCAGGAAGTGAGACAATATTTTTAAGATCATACTTATTTCATATATATATATATATATATATGTATAAATCCGGGCGGCACGGTGGTGTGGTGGTTAGCACTGTCGCCTCACAGCAAGAGGGTTGCTGGTTCGTTCCCTGGTGTGGGAGCCCTTCTGTGCGGAGTTTGCATGCTCTCCCCGTGTCAGCGTGGGTTCTCTCCAGGCACTCTGGCTTCCTCCCACAGTCCAAAGACATGCAGAGTGGGGACTAGGTTAATTGATAACTCTAAATTGTCCGTAGGTGTGAATGTGAGCGTGAGTGGTTGTTTGTCTCTATGTGTCAGCCCTGGGATAGTCTGGCGACCTGTCCAGGGTGTACCCTGCCTCTCGCCCAGTGTCAGCTGGGATAGGCTCCAGCCCCCCCGCGACCCTCAAGAGGATGAAGCGGTTAGAAGATGAATGAATGAATGTATAAATCCTTTGATAATAATGTTTCACCCCATAGACGGAATTAGTGTGTTGATCATTTATAAGTTTAAGATTTTTTTTGGTAGGACATGATTTGCCCCAGTTCTTAAGATTGGGTGAGTTATATTTGTCAATACTCCCAAAGAGGGGCAGAGACATTTTTCTTTACTACTAGTCCTGTAACAAAATATCCCCACCTCTTGCAGTCGCCGTCTTTCTCAGCTCAGTTCCACCACTATACTGATCTCTGGTGGTGCATGCTGTGCTCTACAATACATTGCCTCAATACAGCATTTGCGTATCAGTTTAATAGAAAGACGAGTGTCTGTATTTTTTTTCTTTATAAAGATATTTTTTGTGGCATTTTGCCTTTAATGAACAGGACAGCCAAGTATGAAGGGGGGAGAGAGAGAGAGGGGGGATGACATGCAGCAAAGGGCCACAGGCTGGATTTGAACCTGATACATGGGGCACCTGCTCTATCCACTAAGCCACCGACGCTCAGAGTGTCTGTATTTTTGATGGTATTGAACATCATACCTTTAGGATTTTCTAAATTCCTCCGCAATACCTTGATACCACCTGAGTATGCTTTTAATGTTTTTTTGTGATTTTGTGTTCTGCAGAATGAATTTCCATTATGATGCATGTGGTGGAGTTGTTGCTACTAGACAAAGATGGATTTATTTACAGAAATGTGGCTGAAAGCTTGATCATTTGGCATGATTATACAATAATAGTTTGTAATTGAAGACGGGCCATTTAATCATTTGGCTTTATCACACTCTGGTCTGTTGAAGCTTGCATCAATGGATACCTAATGCCAACATCTAGTTGATTTTTTTCCTTTAGTTTGTAGCAGTCATTTCAATCATGTTCTTGAATGTGCTCTTCGTTTCATCTCTCATCTTGCTCATCTCCCTTCAGGCTCTGTCTCTCACCCCTTCCCTGTCATCTCCTCTTCTTGTCATCCTCCTTCTCTTCTCTCACCTCCCTCCCTCCTCCACCACCTCCCTGTGTCTGCTCTGACAAACGTTCATGCATTAAAGACCCAGCTATGCCTCTTGAATACCAACCCAACTCCAGCATTGTCTGACAACAGTGGGGGAAATTCTCCGCACTCGGGGCGTTCCCCTGTGAGTAAGCACTGCACAGGACAGACTGCTATTCCATTGATGGGGCACATTAACAAATCAGTGGCTGCGCCCTCCACATGCCACTGCTCTATGACTAAGAGGCCAATACGGACTGCAACCTTGACACCCACCCCCCATGCCCTTTGATGAAGAGTAATATTTTCTTCTCCTGTGTCTGTGCTCTCTGCTGTCTTCCCCATCAGGCTTCAGTGGGGCAGTCATGATTCCGCTGGAGGGAGAAACAATCAATATCATTAGAGCAGCCAAAGCTCTCCTTACCCTTGGAGTGTAGATAATGCGGAGTTAGCCCCTGTGCCTCCAGTGGGCCATACTGGACATAAAGATGAATAACAGCTGACTTTGCTACCATGGTAACCTCTTCAGAGTTCCCCTCACCCTCTCTACTTGCCATCCCCCCTATACGTCTGCTTTCTGTACTCTGGTGCAGCAGAGTCCGCGTGGACTGAACAGACTAAAGCTCCTTCACAACAGCAGAGAAATTAATGGAATTTTCCAAGGAAGTCAACAGTAAACATGCTGCAGTCCCCTTCCCAATCCACAAAGAAATACCATCCTCTAAACACCTGTAATTATAATAACTCACAAACAATATGTACTAATTATTTAGTATGTTAGCTACACTGACTTCCCACAGCCAGTCACAATCACCTGTGGGTCCATCATGACAAGACTCACTCCAAAGGGCCGTTTAAACCAAGAACAGTAACAATAACTAGGACAATGTGAGCATCCACACTGATGAATGGTAATGTTCTTTAACAGAGACACTTGTCATTAGGCTACCTGAGGTAATGCTAGATAGCCTATATATTGCTCCACGTTGGAAGGTCACCAGGATACACCCTCAACAGCCGCCATCTTTGTCACAAAGATGTTAACCTTTGAAGGTGACGTGTCCATCATTCCACATTCAGCTTTTGGACCATTTTAAGCGTGCCAGTAGTACACTGCATTTTCCCATACTTAAGAGTTTAGTACAGAAGTCTGCAGTTTAACACACACTGTTGTGTCTGTATTTGATATACAGCACCATCTCTATCAGTCACATCATGATCTGCATGATCCACAGTCCAGTTGTGCCCCATGTATTTACATGTTGGCCTATAGCGTTGTATGTGGAGGTCTAATCAGTCAGAATAAGTGAAAATACCTGTGAGGATGTACAGGTCCTTAAATGTTAAGCGCAAATGGTAAAAATATGAAGATCAGTGCAGTTTGAGTGCGTCTTGTAAAAATACCAGCCACCAGCTAAAATACAGAGATAAGATCTTCAGTCTTGTTTGTTTACTTCAAAATCACTGAGATTAGGTTAGCATTAGGGTTAACCCTCACCCTGTCTGACACTGGAGTTTTGTGCCAGGGTGGTTAATCTGTGAGTGTGCAAGATGCATAGATAACAGAGTGAGAGAGAGTGTGTGAGTGTGTGTGTGTGTGTGTGTGTGTGTGTGTGTGTTTTGTTTCTTTGCCATGGTGATATGCCTTTGGCGAGGGGTGATTCATGCTCACTTACTTCTTCAGACTCTGATGAGTACTGTGGCCCTGCTGGCTTCAGTTTCCAGATGACTGAAATTTTTTTCTCTCCTCTTCCTGTGTTGCAGTTGAAAGGGATCTGGTTCAGAAGAGGACCTTCACCCGATGGATGAACCTGCATTTAGAAAAGGTTGGTTGATACAGCTTTATAAAATGGTTGCTACAAAAAAATATGAAAAGAGGACACTCAGTTATTATAGAGCTGCTTGCTGAGCTTTCATTTAACACCTGGGTGGAGCAAGACAGCCTCTTTTATGGCCACCCCACCCCAAATCCCAGGGTACTGTAGCTCCATCTTCACCACAGACTGTATCATAAAGATGAGATTGCTCTGCCACGCTCACTGTATGTGTTTAACACTGCGGCAGAGACACGTGCTGTACATAAACAACAGTTGCAGTCTCTCCACCTCCCTCTATGAATTATACATGTGGTTGTGTGAAACTGCCTGTGTGCAGCATTAAAGTCTTATTAGGATGTAAAGTGTTACTCTGAGAGAACAGTGGCAATGTTACAGGTCTAGCTAACCCAAGGTGGTTGTTTTCCTCCCCAAACCACCCAGCTAGCTGCTGTACAGTATGGGAACAATGGCTGAGTGGATAAGGGGCCCCTCCTCTGCTGCCTCTTGGAGCTTTGGGACAAATACAGGAGAAATGCCCTGAGGGAGCCAATGACAATCTTGTCAAGGAAAGGAACTAGAAACCAGGGCTGTATGGAGGCCCAAAGGGGACACTCAGCTAATTTAAGGGGAAGAAAGGTCAATGAGTCCAGGGTGAATGCGTGTTATTCATATGGAAAATGTTGGGTTTTTTTCAAAAAAAAAATAAATAAATAAATAAATTTTTAAAAAAAAGAGAGAGAAAGAAAAAAGTAAAAGTAAAAATCAATAAACTTAACTAATAAAGGAACACATTTTCTAATGCTGTGGGAGTTATTACAATATATTATATATTATTTCATATATGTATATGCATATATATATAAATCTGAAGGCCGTCGGTCATTTTGACCGGTTGCAATTACCGCCCCTGCCCACTTGGCTGCCGTTTTCACACTACTGAGAAAAAGTCATTCATCTGCTTCATGTAGCGTTGTTGACATAACGCCCTGGATGCGGAACCAAAGCACGGCGCCCAGCAGCGGAGGCAGTTTTCAGTCAGCGCCCATGTTAACCTATCTGACTGTCCACATAGGCCACTGAGCAGAGCAGAGCACCCGTAGAGGCAGCGCTTCAGTTCGGCGTCTGGTCTATTTTTCACGGGAGCTGCGAGCTCTTCTGTCAAGCTGGATCGAGCGGATCGTACCAAACAGGAAGTCGGACACAGAAAAGATGAGAGAATCTGGCCAATTTTCAAAATAAAATAACAACAGCACGCACTGTGGAACGTGTGGAGAAAATACCATGTTTATAATTTAAAAAAACACAACAGTGCATAACCGAACACATTTTTCTATACCATAATCACTTCATTACAATTTTAATTTTGTGTCACCGAGCCTACAGGCATAACTACATAACGCCCTGGACACACTGGACGCGTTAGTGCCGTCTGGTGTGTCCAGGGCGAAGCCTAATGGCACGGGTGTGTGGATGTCTGTTCATCTTTTCGTTCATGTCCGTATTAATGCACACTTTGAATATCTTTATTATCATTTAAAAACAAAAATTAAAATGACCGGTAAAAATATATTATGACCGGATTTTTATGACCCTGTCGGTCAAAATGACCGGCGACGAAAAAGTCTAGCGCAACGTCTGCTTAGGCCTGTTGTCCTCGATTGTGGACACTTGTTTGTACCATCTAGTGGTAGTAAGAGCACACTACAAGTGGACAAGGTCCAAAACCTGATCACATTTTATGGTTGAAACTTGTTTATTTATGATTAATAATGTTTGTAGTTTGATATGGAAACAAATTTGACCAATTTTAACAACAGTAACAAACTAATTTATCAGGTCCTACTGATCCCAAACAGGTAGGAGAAATTAAAAATGCATACCAAACAAAAGTTTGGATTTCAGGAGGATATAAAGGTGCAAGAAAGGCACCTTGTGGAGGTTTCCTGTAAACAAACATATCAACATTTAATCAACTTGCAGAGATTTCAAATGTCCTTTAGATAGGTAACCTATCACCCCCAATTTAAAGCCTTGTTTAAATTCATCAGCAGGGGGAGTTTGGTTGCCTGGGAACTAGTAGAATCTGAAAGCTGATGTTTTATTTGCTCTGACAGACGCGTCTAGACTGTGGATGTATGTTCAGAAGTTAAATATATATATATATAAATAAAAGTAAGAACTCTGCGCTGAATTTA